AGTCCCTGCGCTCCCGCTCCGGAGCCCGCAGCCTCCCCCAGCCCATGCCGGGGATTTGGCCCCCGCACCCGGAGAGCTGTTGTTAATGGATGTGGTGGGTGTTCGCGGGCTGCTCTTTCACCTGTCGAGGCTTGGAGTGGGGGGCTGAGGTGGGGGGTGCATGGGGCGCGGCGGGGGACGCGGAGGAGCCCCACGGAGCTGGTCCCAGGCGGACTCCAGCCGGGGGTGGTCGCCCCGCGCCCCGCTGTGGCCCTCACCGGCTTCTTTCTGGCCCCGTGTGTCGAGTGCAGGTGGCCCGAGGCACCACGACCCGGAGGAGCAGGTTGAAAAGATCCGATGGCAGCACCACTTCGACCAGCTTCATTCTCAGACAGGTAGGGCCGGCCGGGGGCGGCGCGTGGGGAGAAGGCAGGTGCGCGGCGTGGGGCCGGGGGCCCAGGGGGGCCACGTGGGGAGCGACCTGCGGTCCCCGCGCGCGTGCGCGCGCCTCCTCCCGGCGTCTCCCTCGTGCTCCGCGTCCTGCTCGGAAACTTTCGGGTGCTGGGGGGGCCCCGCGCCGCCCCGGGAAGTTCGTTCGTGGAGGTGCGACGTGGACACCAGTCGGCGGGGACCTGGTTTCGGTTAGGGAAATTGCGGTTCTCTTCAGAGCCGGTCGTACGTCAGGCGAAGGGGACAGAAGCATCTCGGAACGTTGTCACTCGACTGACTGGGGCGCAGTGGTTGCGGTTCTGGGATGTTTGCCCGACTTTGAGAGCTCTTCCCTTTCTGGGTCTTGGGAGGCATCTCGGAGCTCTGGTCTCACGAAAGACACTTGGAGCAGAAACTTTGAGTCCGCATTTTTCGTTTGGGTTTTTGCCTGGTCGAGCGAGTTAAAGTGAAATAAACCTTGGGGTCTGGGTGCGACTGCACTTACTGCTTGCTTGCTTCCGCGTGATTTGTTGTGCACGTTGTGTGCTCAAGATCCAAGGGTTATGCAGAATGGGCTATGCCATTTACCTGACGTGGGGACCTGGTCCTCAGTTGTCTTACAGCTCGTGTGCTGTAAATGTGCAGCTGGGTTCTGGAGAGATGATGCACAAGTGAATCACCTTGATCCCTCTCGTTAGCGCTGAGGCTGTTGAGGTGTGAGCGTTAGGGGTGACCTGGCAGACTTTGGTCATCACACGGAGCGCTTCGCGGGTAGGCTTCGATGTGGACCGCCAGCGCGACCTTGAGAAGTTCTTTTCTCTTTAGGAGTGCGTATCCAGTCTCAGATGGCAGCTATTGTGTTTCTTTAATGATTGTCATCCATTTGAACAGATTGTCCACAACGAGTGGGTTATGAGACCCAAGTCGAACCCAGACTCTTCCTAAGGGGGTCATAAAGAGGATATGAATGATACCTATGATGCAGAATTTCATTTTATCCAGAGATAGAATGTATTACTACTACTCTTTATGTAATTCAGGGAGCATTGTACATATGCAGTATTAAAATAATCACATCTTAATTCATTCTGAAAATATACTCTCCCTATCCCTTTGCTGTGTTTTGGTAATTCATTATGTCACAGGGCAAAAGTCCTGTCCATTTTCAAAAAATGAAGCTGACTTTTGCAAATGTTGGGGGACTTGCTAGTGTTTATTTTTCAGGTGCCTATTTTTGGTAGTGTTTTGTTGTAAATTCTTGGGAATACTAATTATACAGCAGCGCCTTCCATGGCTGTTTGACTAATACTTTTGAGTTCATCTGCACCATCACTTAACTAATTTTTTTTAAGTCCAAACAAAACAAATATTCTTATACCATCCCCAACTTATGCCAAGAAATATGTAAATGAAGTAATATGTGTGAAATTCTTTGCAAAGTATCTGTTAATTATTGATTTGTTTATTTATTCTAAGTATTGCATGTTAAATAATTTGGGAGTAATTTAAACCAAAGCAGAGTTTTATGGCAAATGCATCTCATAAATCTTCCTGAAATTGGAATTTGTTGGTTTAATAAAATAGACTAATTTGTATTCAGCTGATAGTTGTAATTACATTTTTCCAATGGAAGAATAGTGAAATATAAAAATCAACCCACTATAGGTGTTATTTACAAATCTTACTTTCTGATTAAAAAAATAGACAGTTTTGCAAATACTTTGCAGCTCATTTAGATGGCATAGTACAAACTTCTGTAATGGCCATAATAAAAAATAACAGGGATTTGACAAGAGATGAAAAATGATTACAAATGGAGTTTATTAGAATCTTATGAAATAAAATGGAAAAGTTTTCACCCAAATGCCCAAATATTTCTTAAGTACAACAGCTGTTCATATTAAATAGAACCTTATTATTTGTACAATGATCAATGATTAATTGATATTTGGATTCCTGACATATTGGCGTGATGGAATTTATTGGTGCCATTTAACAATCTTTGAGGATGAGCACACTGGGGCTACCAATAAAAATAATACTGTTCATTTCTCTGACCTATCATTTATAAATATGTGGAAGAATAGTAAGCAAATAGGGATGCTTGGACAGAGGGCACTTGGCAACCATGCTCAATAAAACAGCCTGAGTTCTTCGAGCTGGTAGAAGTTTCGGTGTATTTGCGTACGTACATGTACACATGCATGCATATGCACACACATCGACATGCATGCGTGTGAGTGTTCCCTGGTACCCAAGGGCTGCTCCTGGGAGTCCCTCAGGCATCACTGACCTTGTTCCTGGTCTCCTAGATTGCTGGCCTCTGAGATACAGGAAGGTTGTAAAGGCTTTGGACCAAATCCAGGAGCCACTAAATGGTTTCTTTGAGGAAAGATGAGAAGGTTAAGTATTTTGCCCTGGAAGGAGAGAAAGCTAGGGGTGACCCAATAATGATCTTCAAAGTGTACAGAAAGGCAGTCTTTGGAAATGTTATGGCAGCGTTCTTGGCTTTAATTGAGTCTGAAATTCAAGAATTGGCTAAAATTAGAAAGGGAATAATTTATAGCAGAACTTTCATAGGAGGGTTGTTATCATTGGAATGGCTTTCCAAGGGAGGCTGTAGAATTTTCTCTCAGAAGATTACTTCTGGCAGCCTATTTATCAACAAATTATTTACTCGGGTTTTAAATTTAGGAAACACGAAGAAAGCATTTGCCGTGTCAGCATTGGTTTGCTGGCAGGGGGGTTGTTGTTTTTCTTGGGTGTGCCTAGTACCTAGCTCTGTGCTAGATCCCTGTGCTAGGGAAGGAATGAAAAGATCAACAAAGGATTCCTTGCACTCAGAGGATTTTATAATCTAGTAATGGAAACAGCTGCATGCCAACAGTACAGTGACATGGAACAAGGAACGAAGGGGCGACAAAATGCGGCGGTGAGCCCAGCATTACAACTGCCATGGGTGTCTCTGCAACTACAGTTTGTTGAATGTTCCAGCTAAGTCCTTTCCCAACTGGTGTTGTGAGAGAAAATCTGATCAGTGTAGGATTAATTTGTTGACCTTCTTTGCCCTTTTGAGAACTACAAGGTCTTACCCCGCTTGGCATTCGCCTGATGTCTAGCCTCATGTTGACATGTGATCTCGAAGCTCTGGACATAGAACTTGAACACACCACCTCTCTCCTACCACAGGCCCTTGGCTAAGGTGACCAGACGTTCTGCTTTTGGCAGGACAGTCCTGATTTTTAACAATTTTTCCCACGTCCCACAGCGTTTTTAAAAAGTCCTGATTTTTGGAAAGAATGCATGACAAGCTAGGGTATATGGTTTTCGGCTGCCATGTGGCTATTTCACCAGGATATGAGTTTTAGCAATGCTGTCCCGCTTTTGTCCCGCTTTATCAATGTTAAAATCTGGTCACCTTACCCTTGGCACATGCTGAACCCTCTGTGCAGAGGATGTATACTCTCCCCTCTGTCTGTTGTTGCTGCCAGGTGCCCGTGAGGTGGTTCCACCTAGAGTGTGCCTTGTGTATGACAGACGAAAACCCTGCTGGGTCCGGCACCATCCTGACCATTGTCGTTAGGCAGGGGCCCAGGTTGCAGCCACTGTGTCAGTGCTTCTCTTAGAGAGCTTCCTCTTTTGCAGGGACCGGTCCCTCCTGATAACGTGTCCAGAGGACGTGAGGCAGTCTCGCCATCCTCCTCATTTCTAAGGGTCGTGACTGAAGTTCACTTTTCAGTTCCTCAGGGAAGCTTTTTCTAACTTCCCTGATCAGATCCCAGAGCACCTTTGTGCCAGTTCTCCATAGAATCACCAGGATTATAATTTAACCTGTATTTATGTTCCTCTGTTAATGATTGTCTGCCCAGGCAGATGATAAGTTCCACAATGGCAGGAACATTCCTGTGTTTGGGGTCCTTTGCGGCTTCACCTCCTAAGGTACTGCCCAGGGCTCGTCGCAGATGTGGAATTTTATGTTTGCAGGAGGGAAGCTGTGGCTCCATGGAGGCTTTTGCTCTAAAGCAATAGACTGAACTGACCTAATGCAGTTACGCTTGGAGTTCTGCTCTAGTATTACACCCTCTGTTTCAGTCAGTCTGTTGTTGGCCTAATAAAGAACCCCAAAACTTAGTAGCTT